GGGGGACGAAAGGCATGGTGAGATAGTATTTTGCACAGCAGCAGCTGGAGAAGGTTTCCACTCTTCTGTGCTGTGTGTGAATTGTCCTAACATGACAGGAGAAAAGAAGTCAAGGAATATGGAAGCAGCGGCGGAGCAAGCTGATCAGGTGTCTGGGGCGGCGCATGTGCCCTGCGCCCAGGGGCGGGGCCAGCTACCTGTGGGGTGGGGCAAGCAGGGGCAGGACGCTCCATGGGGCCTCCAAAGAGTCTACCTGCCTCATCCCACTCAGCCACCCTACAGCTGAGCGGGAGGCGGTGGGCAGACCATTTAGGGCAGCGTGGATCCTGCGGGCGCCCAAGCCACCACGTTATTCCCAGGAGAGATGCATGGCTCGGGCATGCTGCAGGCCCTGTGGTGAGTGTTAGGTTTCTGTCATGCCACTGTGCAGTTCTTGGAGTCACAAGACTCTGTTGACATTCCAGACTGTTGGAAGTTTCATGGGAGACAGATGTTGAAGTTACTGGTTTCCTGTTTCTGTGTCCTGTTGTTTTCTGTCTCTCACAGAGAGCAGACGCATATTCTTTTCTGTCTGGCGTAGTTAGGAATAAAGTAGCAATGTAGCACATATTTCTGGCTCCTTCTGCTGCTGTCTGAGTACAATGGAGAGCATGCCTGAAGTCTCATTCAAAGGCTTAGGTTGTTAATCACCGCCGGAGGAGTAGCCATTACAGCTCGGTCGTACGGAGGCTCCGACAGTGAGTCCCGCCTGGCATTTTGTCACCCCCTCAGTGGTGACACCCAGGGCGACCCGCCCCCACCACACACCCCTTCCTCTGCCCCTGTACGGAAGATACCCATTAAAGAAAGCGACTGAATGGATACTGCCTTGTATGAGACGATACAAGTCCTAGCCCAGGATAGAGACTGAATTCCTACAACAGTGTACAGGAAACATTTCAAATACTTTTATTGAGCTGCAAAATGTCACAAAACAGTGCACAAGCTTCTAAGCTGTCCAGAACTCTTCATCGGGTTAGACGTAAATGGAACAGCTGGGGCAGAGACAGAGAATAATACTGGCTGGTGTTGGAAGCATGGCGTCTGCATCTGATCAAAGTCTTGATGTGGAATGGGTAGGAGGTAGCAAACATTCAAATGAGGCTCTTAAGGTGCTGTGCTGGTAGTGGAATTAGCCTGCATAACAGTGGCTGATTCCCCCATCTCTTAAAACACAAAAACAAACTGGCCGTTACTAGGTCTGTCTGCCTCATTAGGTGGGACTCAAAAAGTTCTTAACTGGAGGAAAATAGGAATCAAAAGAAACAAGGCAGGCCTTACAGGGGCAAAGGTGGAAATTACCTTTAGGTGGTGTGTTAGGCAAAAGGTCAATAAAAGCGAAATTTGGTAGCTTCACATAGCCATTAAAAGGAGTGTTCCTTCTGAGAAATAAAGTCCCCTTTTAAGGTGGTTAGAAGCCCTTTCCTCCTGTTTAGCATCCGGTGTTATGTATTCAGTGGTTTATGTTTGCCTGAGCTTGAGTCTGGACTAAGGATTCTGAGCTCCTGTGTTCTGATTTGATACATGATGTCCAATCACAGAACATTTCAGGATTTGGGCCTCTGCCATTGGCCCTTGAACTCTGAGTCATGATTCACAGCTTGAAAGTTTAGACAGCCAATCACGGTGGGAGTGGTCCAGGTTTCTGGAATGTATATAAGCAGTTGCTTTGCCCCTGTTTTCCAGTTATGTAGTTCAATAAAGCTTCTTGCTGTTATTGCTGTCTTGCCTTGTGGGAGCCCACCTATACGTCACATCCCACTGCTGAATTACTAAATTGAAGAAACGGAGTCTGGTCACAGGCTTCAGATTTCACTTTGCCTGACCTCCTACTCCTTAGAACAGGGGTGAGCTAACCTCTGCCTTCCCTAAGCTGTTGGTCTCCAAGTTCCATGTACCCTAGCCAGCATGTCCAACAGTCAGGGATAATGGGAGCTACAATCCCACAAAATCTGAAGAGCTGCAGGTTCCCCACCGCTGCTTTAAATGATACATATGGTACAGCATTACACATGTGTGCGTCTGCACCCATCCATGCTTAAGCGAATCAACAAATTCTGCGCATGATAAATGGCTCCAACCTACACCCTCACCTCCTGGGAAAAGAGGCAATCTTCACTTGGTATTCTTTTATATGCTTTGGCCTAGCAGAAGCAGCATTTTGCCTCTTCTGTGCAATAACCCCTTTTCCACCCGGTTCACATAACACTCTATCAATGTCTTCAAATTGCATTTTCCAGCATTAATATACTATTTGTTTTGGCTCCTAATTACCTGCTTTATCAGCATGTCATATTTGTTCCCCCCTTCCGAGTAATTATATTCCGAATCAGTGTGACACTTGATATTGACCTTTATTTTTAGCTTTCTCTCCCCCTCACAGAAAAGAGGGTGAATGCTTATTTATAAACCATGAAAACTGAGTTTGTGAGAATATTGATTTGGTGTCTTTAAAAAGCAGCAGGCTGGCAGGCTGCAACTCGAAGTGATCACTGGCAATTAGCAGGGCACATTTTTCACTGCTAAACCTTGCCTTTACCTTCTAATTCTATTACTGCATTCGCTCCGCTCTTCCCAGAAAGCACTGTGTTTGTGGCAAGAAACCAGCTATCTGTATAATTTAATGAAAGCCAGTGATCAAAACTGATTTAGTCAGTCTCAAAAATAAGGCAGTGGCATAATTGACACCAGGTGTTCAGAAAAGTTTTCAAATAACCATTAAAAAGATTAGATGCTAATTTAATTGTTAAGTTCCTTTGCAGGAATAACAAGATATTAGCTACAGGGTCAAATGCTCCAGATATTTGCATGACCATAATAATTATCTTTTATGGGAGAATTTGAAAGGCTCCAATGTATGTTGGATGTAGCTTAGAGTTGTCTCATATGCTATATTTTTCCAACATGGAGATATTGGGAAAGGCATGCTATTTTTGCAGCACTAGAATGGAGTTTTTATTTTCTCTGTCTCCTTTTGCCTGAATTCATATATTGACCATGAAGATTCTGCAAATGTTGACTTGCCAATCCATATACCAGTCAGTTGTGATGGTAGCAGAACCACTTCTAATTGTAGCATGGTCAACTGTTAATATATTAGCTTTAAAATATTGCTTTGAGGGAAGGTATAATTCCTCGTAGAAGGGGCACAGTGTCTGACATCCACAGACTGCTTGTAAAAATGGATTGGAGTAAATTTAGAATCACAGAGTTAATGAAGGCATCTCCCCTATAAATCCCATAATAAGGTGGGCAGGCGTGATGCGGCTGGGGTTGGCGCAAGGGGACATCAATCCCTTGCCCCCGAGCCAGATCACCGCAAGGGCCCAGATGCCTGGCTGCAATGCTGCCCACCACAAAAGGGGAGGGTTTTTTCCCCAACCTAGTGCTACCCAAAATTTCGAACTACAAGTCCCTTCAGTGTCAGTCAAAATAGCACATCTGAAAGATACCAGATTTCAGAAGACTGACCTAGATGTTCATTTTCTGTTAACAGTTCTCAAGAATCTATTCAACAAGGCCGAGAATTGCCCAAACAGTAGCAATTTTGGAGTGTCCTGTTGAAAGTGATCAAACGTTTTCAGTATTGAAAGAGTGAGCAATGCTATTTTGTTCACCGTCAGTGCTGACACATAGCTGGTTGGCTATGTATCTACATAATGACACCTCGCTTGTTATGTGATCTGGCTGGCACCTCCCATGTAACTATCCCAAAGAGGAAGTTATAACAAAGAAGTCAACAGTAGGTCAGGGAAAACAATGGCATATTGCAATAAAAATATGCAATGTACCCTTCCCACATCAAATGCTGGGTGTGGTTTATTGTTTTTCTTAGACAGATCTAAGGACATAATCCTATGGAAAGATCCAGCTGGATGAACAACTCACGATGCAGGAGATCTCCAGCTCAGCTGGAGGATTCCTGGCTCAGTTGATCTCCCCTGGCGTAACTCGCTCATCCCAGGTGAATCAGGACTCAGATATATCCTGGCAACTTGTATCAGAAAAATGTAGCAGAGCATTTGGGGTGTTTTTTTGGGGGGAGGGGGGTTCACGTTTGTTTTATACCTTTGCTTTAAAGTACTCAGAGCAAGATACGCTTGATCAGCCCAGATATCAGCACAGCAACAGAGTGTTAGTATCTTGATCAAGGTCTTTCACATGTAAGCTGGAATTCAGACCCATGCTTCCCTGATCCAAAGCCCTCAAAGTAGGAGCTATGTCCTATTGGCACCCACAGGTTGTGATATTGCTGCAAAACTGGTGATCCAGTGAAAAGTGACACTTCTTTGTCCTCCTTATAATTTCATCTAAATGAGGACCAGTCTCTTGAAGTTTGACAACACAGTGGAAATTAACTTCGTCGCCAATATAGAGCAATTCCTGAAACAACTGCAAGCACTCAGTTATCTATATTAAAGATATGTCAAAGCTGTGGGCTGCTGCAAGTTCTTGAAGTACAAGAAGAGAGACACTGACGAAAAGCATGCACACAGTTACAGAGAAGGCGAGCAAATTCTTTGCTGAATATTTCATTAATCATGAAGACTCTAAGTCATCCACATCATTCCTTTTTGCACCAGAACACCTCCCAGTAGATTACAAAGATCTGCAATACGGAGTGGGTGGGGGAATGTGACAGATGACTTATTTTTATATTCTGGATTTGAGCTGTCTACTCTTTACCTACTCAACTACATTCTGTGATATGAATGTAAATTATTTAATCAGATTGCCGCTTTCACACTCTCATTTTAGACTAGAATGTGGGGGAAGCCTTGGAAAAGAAAGCATGGGGGAATACCAATGCAACAATTCACAAAAGTAAGGACAAACAGTTCGGCTTGGGTCCTCAGTGCTCTGAATGGATAATATACATTTAAATTATTTCACAGAATCATAGAATTATAGAGTTAGAAGGGACCCTGAGGATCATCTAGTCCAATGTAGGAATATGCAGCTGTCCCATACTGTGATCAAACCATCAACCTTGGCATTACCATCACCATGCTCTAACCATCTGAGCTAATTGTTGGAAGGGACCCCAAGGGCCAACTATTCCAACCCCCTGAAATGCAGGAATCTCAACTAAAGCCTCCATGACAGATGGCCATCCAACCTCTGCTTAAAAACCTCCAATGAAGGAAAGTTCACAACCTCCCGAGGGAGTCCATTCCCTGTCAAATAGATCTTACCATCACAAAATTCTTCCTGATGTTTAGTCGGAACCTCTTATCAGCACCATCAAAAGTCATGAGTCAGAACTAATGGCTTTGCAAAGATCAACATATATAAAAATGACAATCATGGTTTTGTCCATCATCAGTCCTCAGGTTCCACTGCTCTGCTTGGGACATAACCTTTGATCAAACAATCCTTCTTTTGGGATACTGATGTCATGCATTTACATGTTTTGTTTCCTCTTTAGCTGACAAGCATATGGTTTGGATTTATATACTGGAAAGAGGTTTAAAACAAATGAGAAGAGAAGAGAGCCTTGCCCTCATCTGAGAAAAAAAAGAACAAACTTGGGAGATCCTAATGACAAAAATCTCTCATTTGATACGTAGTCTGCCCTTAGATCCTACAACTTCTGGTGATGTGGAAGAAATTTGTTCCATTCGCACCTACCTAATTTGCACTCTGTAAATCAATCCCGGAACCAAATGAAGCTGTCCTTATAAATTTACCCTTCTCTACATTTTGTGATGCAGTTCTCCAGCCAAAACACATGTGCAGAATGTGTGCATTGGGAAAAGAGCACAGAAAAATGTGGATATTGGTGAAAATAACATACAGAAATGTATTGTGCTGGAGGGAAACGCTTGAAGAAATGTACTTGGAAATGCGTGTATGAATGGAGGAGGTTACTTTCTTTAAAAAAGGCAAATTGATGCAGAAAAGGGTTTGACTGAACTTAAATAACATGAGGAAAAGAGAAAAACCAACACTGACAGATCTGTCCACCCCATATACCCTCAGACATTCGTTACAGGCTAGCTTTCCACCTGCAGCATCCAACATGAAATCCATTAGTTGTACTCCAGAGCTCCTCATCATGTTACTTCTTCTGTATGCTGGAATCAGGTCTCAGAGACTGAGACTCAGAAGAAGGGGTAAATGTGGGTCAAGCAGGTTGGCATCCCTATAAAGGGATTTGTGCTACGTAAATACTGACATATGTTCCTTTCTAAATGGAAATCTCAACAGTATAGCTATCATCTTGACTTAGTCCAAGGAAGAAAACATCCCACAGTTACACGTCAACAAACTTGCCTTTCAGCTATAATTGTGGCATAGATTGAAAGTTGCGCACCATAAAGGACAGCATGGAATAGGAGATGAAGGCTCCAGTGAAGCATTGAAAGGAAAGAACCAGCAATGAAAAGAAATAATTTGGATTACCTTAGATACTCTGTTAGCAACTTCTCTGCCTACGGTCAGCCCCTGAACAAAGGTCCTTGCAGCGATGAAAGCTCTTGTCACTTGAACCTTCAGTTTCCTGGGTACGTCTCCAAAAGGCTTAAGCTGGTCTGTGTATTTGCTTACACACTCTAGGTAGTCCTCAGAGAAATGATAGTGGGGGTTTATGAGCTGGAACATTCGCTCTAATAGCCGAGCCCAGAAGTCATTCAACATTTCCTCCAAGTTCACGTTGCCTCCTGTATAATACCGTTTCAGTTCTATGAAGAGGTCCTGGAACACTTCCGAATTCTGCATGTACAACATGCCGTATGTCCGTACAAACATATCATTTAAAGATCTTTCGGCATTCTCCAGGAGTTCTCGGAAAAATTCTATACAAAACAGAAGCATAAGCATAAGGAAAACAATATATAATATGAAGGAAAGCAAACAATATTAGTGGTAATCAGGATTACTGTACGACAGCGTGTCACATTTGTTTTCAACTTTTAAAGCAAGGGGGTGCCAGAATCAGACCCCAAACTCACCAGGCACCTTCTGAATGTGTTGTAGAGCTCTGGGGTAACATCATAGCACTGAGCTGAAGGGAGACATTTCAGCCTTCCTGCCCAGACAACTACTGTATAGGTAGGATATTAAAATTGTACTTTCTTCACTCCTTAACCAATACACTGTAGAGCAGAAAGAGCACAATCTTCTGTCCCACTGCAGCACTCAACTGCACTCTTCCACTGATCTGCACCAGTCAGCTATTGTCAGAGACTGGCTGGCTGAGGAAGAACGATGGGTGCTGCCTGACCTAGAGCCCACCAAGGACGACGCAGAAGACAATTTAGACCTCGGATCATGGTGGTGGGACACTAGAGAGCAGTCTGGGGAATGGACAAGCTGGGAGGTGCTTGAAGCTGGAGGCTTGAACAATCAAGGGTAGGGTGGTCAGAAGAAGGAGGCCCTTCCAGGACAGGGCTGGAGGCTGAGTCTCAACGTCAGTGCAGACTCAGCAGAGAGCAGTCAGAGATGGTCCCTTCTACCTATCAGCTGGACAGTTGCAGTCCTGCTGGATCTCCTCCTCCTCTGCCACCCCATTCAAGGAGGGTCCTGCGCATCCTGAGCAATGGGCCAGGCAGGCTCAGAGGAGGAACCCACCCGCCTGTCACAGTCTCCGTCTGCTTGGGAGGGATACAGAGTGAGAGGCTAGAGGGGTAGGTGGGGCCAGTGTTCAGATTCAGCAACATCTCATGCTTAATGAGTAACGCTGCTGTGTTGTTATTTTCTGTGAAGAAAAGTTAATTGAGTTTCTTGCCTCACTTTCTTTCCTGCCCTGCAGAGCGCCTGCGCTTGCCTGACAGCTCCTTGACAGCTGTGGACTCTGTGCCTCTCTTTGTGGTTCTGTGTTTGTGTAATGTGTATGAAAATGTGGGGTAGTTGCACAAACTCTGGGCACCCCACTTCCTTGGACACATCTATTCTGGGCATGCAGCCTTCAACTAAAAAAAACCTGCCTATCTCCATCCTTAATTAACTGGTCAAGAAAGAATCTTGTGCCAAGAATCTTGTTGCCTGTGCATGTGGGTTGGTCAATATTATGCAGCTTTGCTCTGAAGATTTGACATTGAGAAGAGTTCCTTTGAAATAATATTAAGAGAACATTAGATTCATCATGAGGATGCAGAATATATCATTTTTTAAAAATCCATAGCCCTAAATGTTAAATATGCTTTTAAGGAAAACTGCTACAAAAGCTGTTCCATTTATATTTGAAGGATTGTTTAAGCAATGCAGCTCTTGTCACTTAGAAACTGAATTGGCAGTGTTTCTGCTTTTGAGTATGAAATAAGGAGAAGAATGCTATTTAGCAAATTCTGTGCCTAAGTCAACAAGTCTAAAATAAAGTGTTGTTTTAAAGGCTTGCATGTGGGAGTAGAGGGAGATGAGGGAGTGGCTTAGTGGAATGCAATCATGGCAGAGCCTAATTTAGCACATGGTCATGCTCAGAATGAGAAGAAAATCAGATGAGACTGTCATAGTTGGGTTCAGCATAAGGGGGAAACTAGATGCCAGATGTGCATAACTGGTTTTTTTTATAAGTGCACACCAAAGAAAACCCCGTGTTGTAAAACAGAACACTGTAAGCTTACTACACTTTTAAGTGATTTCTGATCCATGGCCATTTGATGTACCTTTGGGGACAATTAATTTGCTGGTGAAGAATGATCATGGAAACAGTTCATTATCCTGGAAGAAGTGTTCTGTCTGCTGCTGTTCTTGGAGCACCCATTGCTACATTTGGAGTACCCATCATCTCACGTATTGACTGTGGAAAGACATTCTGCCTCCATTTCAGTAACTTAGCACTCCTACCATTCCTGTTCATGGAACATTTACAGTGGTACCTCAGATTAAGTACTTAATTCGTTCCGGAGGTCCGTTCTTAACCTGAAACTGTTCTTAACCTGAAGCACCACTTTAGCTAATGGGGCCTCCTGCTGCTGCCGCGCCGCCGGAGCACGATTTCTGTTCTCATCCTGAAGCAAAGTTCTTAACCTGAAGCACTATTTCTGGGTTAGTGGAGTCTGTAACCTGAAGCATATGTAACCTGAAGCGTATGTAACCGGAGGTACCACTGTATTTGATTCTTCATAGTTTGTGGCTCCATGCACATAATATATGTCTTTTTGATAAGTGGGCAGTGGAAGGAGGAGATAGATCAGTACTGTGGCAAGAGGAGGGGCTTCAAACCATTGCCCCCACACTACGGTCCCAAATAAAGTGAAACCCCTTGTTGCTGCTGTTTGCAATGCCACTTGTCCAGTGAAAGGTACCAATCACTTGCTATTGACTGTAGTTCCCTTCACATGGTTGACTCATGATTCTCCCCCAAGCAAAATCCTTAGCGCTCTTCCCTAATGGAAGAGGTTGCAGCAAGTAATCTCAAGCTTTGCTGAGGATGAAATAGGACTTCTGAAGGAAACCTGTATTTCCAAGCACAGTGTTTTTGACTAATCTGCACGTGGGTCAGGAAGCACTTGTCAGTGGATGGTAGGAGGTGCTTGATGCATCTGCAGTAGCTGATTCCCACCATGACCCAATTTTAATTGATTTTTCTTCAGTGAAGCTCAGACATACTGTGCAGGGGGGGGGACAGAAAGCAGGCACGTGTGGAGGACTCCCTGGTCCTGAATGGGGTAACTGAGCCGCTGAAGGACCAGGCCCGCAGCCTGGGAGACATGTTGGACTCACAGCTGTCCATGGAGGCACAGGTCAATTCTGTGTCCAGGGCAGCTGTCTACCAGTTCCACCTGATACGCAGGCTGAGACCCTACCTGCCCGCAGACTGTCTGGCCAGAATGGTGCATGCTCTAGTTATCTCCCGCTTGGACTACTGCAATGCGCTCTGTGTTAAGGCTACCAGATGCCTCCATTTCCCGGGGACAGTCCCCAGATTTACAAATCAGTCCCCATACAAAATCCATTCAAGTTGAAAAAGTGTCCCCGGATTCATTGAAAAAATCTAGTAACCTTACTCTATGTGGGGCTACCTTTGAAGGTGAAACTACAAGTAATCCAGAATGTGGCAGCTAGACTGGTGACTGGGAGTGGCCATATAACACCGGTCCTGAAAGACCTACATTGGCTCCCAGTACATTTCCAAGCACAAGTCAAAGTGTTGGTGCTGACCTTTAAAGCCCTCAATGGCCTCAAAGGCCCAGTATACTTGAAGGAGCGTCTCCACCCCCATCGTTCTGCCTGGACACTGAGGTCCAGCACTGAGGGTGTTCTGGTGGTTCCCTCCCTGAGAGAAGCGAAGTTACAGGGATCCAGGCAGATGGCCTTTTTGGTAGTGGCGCCTGCCCTGTGGAACGGCCTCCCATCAGATGTCAAGGAACTAAACAACTACCTGACTTTTAGAAGACATCTGAAGGCTTTAGGGAAGTCTTTAATGTTTGATGTTTTATTGTATTTTTAATATTTTGTTGGAAGCCGCCCAGAGTGGGGAAACCTAGCAGATGGGTGGGGTAATAATAATAATAATAATAAATTATGAAACCACAAATAAGTGGAGATGGCCAAAAGAAGAACAGTTTGCATGGGGGAAGCAAGTTCAAGTGCAAGGTTCTTCTCTTCCACCTGCCAGCGATATACACTCTCTTTGTCTGAAGTCATACAGTTTTGGAAACATGTATTTCCTAAGATAGCTATAGCTCCACCCTAAACCATTTAAAGCGATATTTGATCTCGGAATACTCTGCCAGTTGTGACCGCATCTTTGTGTTTTTACTCCTCCTTTGCAGCCAAGTGAAGAAAGCAGATGTCAGAAAGGCTCACAGCAAGAACATCAGTTTAATGCCTTTTCCCAGCAGGGCGTATTAAAATGCCTTTTGGACAGAATCACGAACAGTTCGGCTAGTCATGTTTTCCTTTTTGCAAAACGTTTGTGCTCCCAATCACCTATAATCCACACTGGCGTATCCTGTTACTTTCAGAAGTGCAAACTACATCCAATACATTGTATATCATTTATACTGTGAGCTGAATAAATCTCACATTGCTAATAGAGGAAAATCCCTGTTAACACGTGGCTTTATTGAAGCCACACTAGAAACTTCTTCACTTCATTTATTATAAACTTTCTGCAGCATTACAAAACCACCACTGTGTTAATTAAACAATGTTAAAGTTAACAGTTAAAGGCTTAGCAATAAGAAAATGTTATAATAGAAGCTGTCTCTCTCTCTTGTGGTCACTATGAGTACTTAGATTTTATGGCTTTTCATATGAGATCCAAGCCTAATCCTAGACTGGCAGATGCAATGTCATATATTACGAACATATGTATTGGTGTTAATGAGAAGGGGTGAGTTCATAGTAGCAGCTTTGCAGGCTTGTTTTCTTATCCCACAGATGAAACGCATGTCACTCGACAAGAAAAATTAGCTAACAGATTAGAAGTTCAAATTTATGAAATCTATTAAATATTTAAATATGTATTAAACATATAAGCCACAAGAATTTGAAGATGAAGAATGGAAAGTGAGAAAGGAAGCAGAGCAGTGCAAGAGAGTAAAACTGTAAGTTATGAGCAGGAAAAAGCAAGAAACAAAGGAAATTTATCCTTTTGTTCCAAATACATTTATTTTCTGGCAAGAGAAATAATCACAAATATCTAGCTAAAGCTATTAGAATATTGTGTATCTGGTATATTAATTGCTCTTTTATAGGAAATAGTGATGTTACAAAAAGGCCCCAGTTGATGTGGAATAAGTACAACTTTCTTTACGGAATATACGAGTTATTTTAATTCCTGTCTAATGGGAAACAAGCAACATCCTGTATTCTAACTGGTGATATAGTAGGAACAGATTTGGTCAAT